ACACTTCCACCAACAGTGTAAAAGTGTTCCTATTTCTCCACCTCCCTTCCAGCATCTGTTGTCTCCAGATTTTTTAATGATCGCCATTCTGACTGGTGTGAGATGGTATCTCAATGTAGTTTTGATTTGCATTTCCCTAATGACCTGTTTTTGGTTTTGTTTTGAGATGTGGTCTTGCTCTGTTGCCCAGGCTGCAGTGCAGTGGCACAATCTCGACTCTGCAGCCTCTGCCTCCCAGGTTCAAGTGATTTTCCTGCCTTACCCTCCTGAGGAGCTGGGATTACAGGCGCACGCCACCACATCCAGCTAAGTTTTGTATTTTTAGTAGAGAAAAGGTCTCACCATGTTGGCCAGGGTGGTCTCGAACTCCTGGCCTCAAGTGATCCGCCTTTCTAGGTCTCCCAAAGTGATGGGATTACAGGTGTGAGCCACTGGCCCTGACATTTGGCTTTACCTCTGAGTTCTCTTTTTCTGTTCCATTGGTTCATGTGTCTACTTTTATAGCAGTACCATGCTGTTTTGGTAACTATAGCCTTATAGTAAAATTTGAAGTCTAATTATGTGATACTTCCAGATTTGTTCTTTGGGCTTTGGATTGCTTTGGCTATCCAGGCTTTTTTATGGTTCCATATGAATTTTAGGATTTTTTTTTCTAGTTCTGTGAAGAAATGATGATGGTATTTAGATGGAAATCGCATTGAATCTACAGATCACTTTGGGCAGTATGGTCATTTTCACAATATTATTTATTCCAAGCCATGAGCATTGGATGTGTTTCAATTTGTTTGTGTCCTCTGTGATTTCTTCCAGCAGTGTTTGTAGTTCTCCTTGTAGAGCTCTTTCACCTCCTTAGTTAAGTATATTCCTAGGTATTTTATTTTATTTTTTGCAGCTGCTGTAAAAGCGTTGAGTTATTGATTTGACTCTCAGCTTGGTCGTTATTGGCTTATAGCACGGCTGCTGAATTATGTACATTGATTCTGCAACCTGGGATTTTACTGAATTTGTTTATCAAATCTAGGAGTCTTTCGGAGGAGTCTTCAGAGTTTGCTAGGTATACAATCCTGTGATTGGCAAACAGCAATAATGTGATGTCCTGTTTACCAATCTGGAGGCCTTTTATTTCTTTCTGTTGCCTGATTGCCCTGGCTAGGACTTCTAGTACCATGATGAACAGAAATAATGAAAGTGGGTATCCTTGTCTTGCTGTAGTTCTCAGGAGGGATGCTTTCAACTTTTGCCCTTCAGTATGATGTTGCCTGTGGCTTTGTCCTATGTGGCTTTTATTATTTTGAGGTAAGTCTTTTCTATGCTTAGTTTGTTGAGGGTTTTTATCATAAAGGAATGCAGGATTTTATTGAATGCTTTTTCTGCAGCTATTGAGATGTTCATATTGTTTTGTTTTTAATTCTAATTATGTGATGTATCGCATTTATTGACTTGCTTATGTTAAGCCATCCCTGAGATAAAACTTGCTTAATCATGGTGTAGTCTCTTTTTATGTATTTCTTTTCTTTTTCTTTTTCTCTTTTTTAAATTTTTATTTATTTATTTATTTTTTGAGACGGAGTTTCTCTGTTGCTGAGTCTGGAATGCATTGGCATGATTTTGGCTCACCACAACCTCTGCCTCCTTAATTCGTGATTCTCCTGCCTCAGCCTCCCTAGTAGCTGTGATTACAGACACGCACCTCAACACCTGGCTAATTATTGTATTTTTAGGAGAGAGGAGGTTTCATCATTTTGGCCAGGTTGGTCTTGAACTTCTGACCTCAGGTGATCCACCCACCTCGGCCTGCCAAAGTGCTGGGATTGAGGTGTGAGCCACCGTGCCAGACATTGTATTATCTTTTTGATTGGCCTGTTGGATTCAGTTAGCTAGTATTTTGTTAAAGATTTTTGCATCTATGTTCATCAGGGATATTAGTCTGTGGTTTTCTTTTTTTTGTTATTATTATATTCTTTCCTGGTTTGGTTATCAGGGTAATACTGGCTTCATAGAATCATTTAGGGTGGATTCCCTCTTTCTCAGTTTCTGAATAGTTTCAGTAGGATTAGCACCAATTATTTGAATGTCTGATAGAATTCAGCTGTAAATCCATCTGGTCCTAGGGTTTTTTTGGTTGGCTTTTTCTTTTTAATTACAGATTCAATTTTACTGCTTGTTATTGGTCTGTTTAGGGTTTCTATTCCTTCTTGATTTAATCTAGGAGGGTTGTGTTTTCTAAGAATTTATCCATTTCCTCTAGGTTTTCTAGTTTGTATACATAAAAAAGGTGTTCAAAGTAGTCTCAAATTATTTTCTTTATTTCTGTGGTATCTGTTGTAATGTTTCCAGTTTCATTTCTAATTGAGCTTTCTTGAGTCTTCTTTCTTTTTGTCCTGGATTATCTAGCTAATGGTATATCTATTTTGTTTATCTTTTCAAAGAACCAGCTTTCCGTTTCATTGATGTTTTGGATTTGTTTGTTTGCTTAAATATCATTTAGTTCTACTCTCATCTTTGTCATTTTCTTTCTGCTGCTAGCTTTGGGTTTAGTTTGTTTTTAGTTCCCTGAGGTATGACATTAGGTTGTCAAGTTGTGCTGTTTCAGACTTTCTGAGTAGATATTTAGCACTGCTTTTTTTGCTATATCTCAGATGTTTTGATAACTAGTGTCAATATTATCATTCATTTCAATGAATTTTTAAATTTTCATCTTGATTTCATTGTCAACCCCAAAATCATTTGTGAGCAGATTATTTAATTTCCATGTATTAGGCCGGGCGCGGTGGCTCAAGCCTGTAATCCCAGCACTGTGGGAGGCCGAGGTGGGTGGATCACGAGGTCAAGAGATCGAGACCATCCTGGTCAACACGGTGAAACCCCGTCTCTACTAAAAATACAAAAAATTAGCTGGGCATGGTGGTGTGTGCCTGTAATCCCAGTGACTCAGGAGGCTGGGGCAGGAGAATTGCCTGAACCCGGGAGGCAGAGGTTGCGGTGAGCCGAGATCGCGCCATTGCACTCCAGCCTGGGTAACAAGAGCGAAACTCCGTCTCAAAAAAAAAAAAATTTCCGTGTATTTATTTAGTTTTGAGGGTTTCTTTTGCTGTTGATTTCTAGTTTTATTCCACTGTGGTCTGAGAAGGTACTTGATATTACATATTTTTTTTAATTTGTTGAGATTTGTTTTGTATTCCATCTTATGGCTATCTTGGAGAATGTTCCACGTCTGAGTAGAAGAATGTATATGCTCTGGTTCTTGCATATAATGTTCTGTAAATATCTGTTAAGCCCGTTTGTTCTGGTGTGTAGTTTAAGTTCATTATTTGTTGACTTTCTGTCTCAATGATCTAATGCTGCAGGTGGAGCATTGAAGTACTCCGCTATTATTGTTTTGCTGTCTATCTCTTTCTTAGGTCTAGTAGTAATTGTTTTATGAATCTGGGAGCTCTAGTGTTAGGTAAATATCAATTTATGACTCATATCTTTGGATTGATCCTTTTATCATTATATAATGACCTTCTTTGACTTTTGTTTTTCTTTTTTAACCTGTTGTTGCTTTAAAGTCTGTTATGTCTGGTATAAGACTAGCTACACCTGCTCACTTTTGGTTTTCATTTGCATGAAATACCTTTTTCAACCCCTTTACCTTGAGTTTATATGAGTCCTTACATGTTAAGTGAGTCTCTTGAAGACAGCAGGTGTTCGGTTTGTGATTTTTAAAAATTGATTCTGCCAATCTTTTTGTTTTAAGTGGAGCATTTAGGCTATTTATGTTCAATATTAATATTGAGATGTGAGGTACTGTTCTACTCATCATATTGTTACCTAGATACTTTGTGTTTTTCATTGTGTTATTATTTGATAGGCCCTGTGAATTTTATGCTTTCAAGAGGTTCTGTTTTGGTGCATATTGAGCTTTTGTTTCAAGACTTAGAACTCCTTTTCACATTTCTTGTAGTGCTGGCTTGGTAGCACTACAAATTCCCTCGCATTTGTTTGTCTGAAAATGACTTTATCTGTCTTTCATTTATGAAACTTAGTTTTGCTGGATCCAACATTCTTGGCTGACAGTTATTCTGTTTAAGGTGGCTAAAGATAGAATCGCAATTCCTTTTGGCTTATAAGGTTTCTGTTGAGAAGTCTGCTGTTAGACTTATAGGTTTTCCTTTATAAGTGACCTGATGCTTTTTGTCTCACTGCTCTTAGATTTCTTTTCTACATGTTGATTTTAGATGGCCTGATGACTATGCATTGGTGGTGATCTTTTTGCAATGAACTTTTCAGGAGTTCTTTGAGCTTCTTGGATTTGGATATCTAAATTTCCAGCAAGGCCAGGGAAGTTTTCCTCAATTATTTCTTCAAATAAGTTTTCTCAACTTTTTGTTTTCTCCCTCAGAAACACCAATTATTCTTAGGTTTGGCTATTTTACATACTACCATATTTCTTGGAGAGTTTGTTCATGTGATTCTTTTTTCTTCATTTTTGTCTAATTGGGTTAATTTGAAAGCCTTGTCTTTGAATTCTGAAATTCTTTCTTTTTCTAGACTATTGTTAAAACTTTCTACTGCATTTTATAATTCCCTAAATGTGCCTTTCATTTCCAGAAGTTCTTTTTTTTAATGATATCTAGCTCGTTAGAAAATGTTTCATTTATAATCTGAATTTAAAAAAAATTTCTTTATGTTGGTTTTCACCTTTCTCTGGTATCTCCTTGAGTAACTTTTAATCTGAATTCTTCATTTGGTATTTCTAATATTTTACCTTGGTTTGGCTTCATTGCTAGACAGCTAATGTGATCTTTTGGGAGGTGTTACAGAATCCCATTTATCATTTTAACAGAATTAGTTTTCTGGTTCTTTCTCACTGGGGTAGACTATTTCCTCTAATGTTTCTTAAATATATTTTTGATTTGATTGTGTGATTTTTTAAAAAAAAATTATTTTCCTTCTTAAGGATTTGAATTTAATGTTTATAGTTTATTATAGCCTAATTTGGTTTTTGGTGCTTTCAGGTGAAAACTCTGTATGATTTCCTTGGTTATAGAGAGACTTGGTATGATGGCTTTCTCAGATGCTAGTCATAGTAATAATGTGCTTGGTGTGCAAGAAAACTTACTGTCTCTGGAAGCTTATCTCGCTCCAATGAGGTATGCACTTTTTAATTTATTTACTCTTCCCTAGTATTTTATTCACTGGGCTGATGGTTCAAGCTTCAGGCCAGTAGGAGAGGTGTTCCTAGATAGGAACCCACTGTGGCTAAAGCAAGTGGGTAAACACAGTATCCGATGGTGGGCAGAGGTTCCAGCCTTGACAGAGGGAGCTGGGGAGCTGTCAGTGAGACACACTGAAGTCTTACCAGGGTGGTAGCTACCTTAGCTCTTCTGCCAGGTCAGCAGGGAAGCTATCCACAGGCCTCTCTTTTCATCTGTCAGAATGTAATGTTCCAAGTAGAGAAGAATTGTGACTCTGCCTCTCATGTGAGCCTGAAACTGGAGGCTGCTTCTCCTGTGGGGACGCAGTCACCCTGAAGTGTTCTAGAAAGTCTGTCTATGGGTGCACCCATGTCGAGTTCTTGTGGGAGAAGACTCAGCTGTGTGTGCAGTGGAGGATGAGGTAGGTAGGAAGTCCCCTTCTCCAAGATCCTTGATAAGACCCGGGCTGTCTGACTGTTGGGGTACAGCTATAGACATTCCATGCTGAGCCCAGCCCTGCAATTCTGCCTCTATTGAAAGAAACTTCCTACCAGTGGAACAATCTGATCCTCAAGACCTGCCATCTGGATTCTTTTGTCACACAGAGTGTTCCCTTTATGTGGTGCACTCTCCCTTCCCCTAGGAGTAGGAGTACCTGAGAGACAGACTACTATGAGTGCTGCTGTTCCTCTGGATCCAGCCACTCAGTGGCTCCATACTATTGCTGGGGGATGTCTGCTAAGGATCCAGTGATGTGACCTGTCCTCCAGTCTCCGAGCAGCAGTTATCACTACCAGCTCTGATGGGGGTGCCAGAGGAGTGACATAGACTCTGTGAGACTCTTGATTATAGATAACTTTAGTGTGTTGTCTTTCTTGAATGCCAGTTAAAGTAGTAATGAACTAGTCATGTGGACAGTCTCAGGATGTCCTGGTTAGACAGGGTGGTGCAGGCAGTGGTAATAGCTGAGGTCACACAGTAGTTTTCTCTTTTCTGAGTGCAGTGTTATTCCACCTGCAGATGCTGTAATGGACTGTGTTGGCTGGCTTCCAGCTATAGGGTGGCATTTGCAAAAGAGTACCAGGTGTGGCAGTAGCAGTGCGATTTGTGCTTGCCTTACGTTGCTCACGGTCAGTAGTCTGGCTCTCTTCACCTTTCTCTGGTATCTCCTTGAGTAACTTTTAATCTGAATTCTTCATTTGGTATTTCTAATATTTTATCTTGGTTTGGCTTCATTGCTAGACAGCTAATGTGATCTTTTGGGAGGTGTTACAGAATCCCATTTATCATTTGAACAGAATTAGTTTTCTGGTTCTTTCTCACTTGGGTAGACTATTTCCTCTAATGTTTCTTAAATATATTTTTGATTTGATTGTGTGATTTTTTTTAAAAAAATTATTTTCCTTCTTAAGGATTTGAATTTAATGTTTATAGTTTATTATAGCCTAATTTGGTTTTTGGTGCTTTCAGGTGAAAACTCTGTATGATAAACCTCCCTAGGGTTTCTACCCTTTGTATTAAGCTACCACGATGAGTGGAGGGGCAAAGCCAGATGAGGGCTGTGTTAGGTGGGTCTGCACTCTGAGTCACCATGTGCATGGAAAGCAATGGCCCCTGTTGGAGATGGAGTTGGTTCTCTGGCCACTGGGGTAATGTTCCATAGGGGAGCATTGCTGCCTCTGCTGCACAGAAGAGTTTACACACGGAGTAGCACGCAGCGGTGAGCCTAACCCAGATTCCACACAGTTGGCAAGGCAGATCAGGCTCCTACAGTACTCTGCTGGCAGCAGTGAGCTATGTTCCAGGCAGTCTGCACTCAGAGCTCACAACTGCCTGAGGCCATAAGCTTTTGTGGTGACAGCAACTGCTGCCTTTCAGGCCATGCCCCTCTCTGTCCACCCGCAAAGCTCGCACCCGGATCCTGCACTCATGCTGCAGCACACTTCCCACTCACCTTTCTGGTTCTGACCAAGGGAGTTCATCTTCACTTGAGGTTATATTGTGAATTTCAGTTTGGAGCTTTTTTCAACGTACAGCCCTTGCCTGAGCCAGTTGGCTGAGTTCCATGAGGTTTTCTGTGAGGTATACTAAGGAATAGCTTCCCTTGGTTCATGCTGGAGACTGGGAATGCCTCTTCCTGCTGCTGCTCTTACCTTTATATTTCTCACTGCTCCTTAAATGGGTTCCAGTGCTGCGAAGGGTTAAGGCCTTCCCCCATGGCCTGGACTTTCAGGTTCCCCAGTGGGAGTATATATCCTGGAGCCAGTCTCTTTACCTCTCACACTGGGGGCTGACGGTTTTTCACCTGGCTCACAGAGTAGGCTGCAGCCTGCTGCTTCTTTCAAAGAGTCTGTGGATCCTTTCAGTTTTGCTGTTCACTTCCTGCATTGCTTCTTGGAAAAAAGTTTACAGTGAGCATTTTACACATGATTTTTAAAAAACTTCTTTATATTGGTTTTCACCTTTCTCCGGTATCTCCTTGAGTAACTTTTAATCTGAATTCTTCATTTGGTATTTCTAATATTTTATCTTGGTTTGGCTTCATTGATAGAGAGCTAATGTGATCTTTTGGGAGGTGTTACAGAACCCCATTTATCATTTTAACAGAATTAGTTTTCTGGTTCTTTCTCACTTGGGCAGACTATTTCATCTAATTTTTCTTAAGGATTTGAATTTTATGTTTATAGTTTATTATAGCCTAATTTGGTTTTTGGTGCTTTCAGGTGAAAACTCTGTATGACTTCCAGTAAAATGTATAATTCCTCATGATCATAATGTACCAAATGTGCTATAAAATGTTAAATCAAGTTCAGATACTGTAAGAGAGATCACTACTCTGTTCTTGGAGAAAGGAAGGGGCTAGGTCCTATAAGCTCTTCTCTTTTCACAAAGGCACGGAGAGGTTAACTTAAGCGACTCCTTAAAGGATGGGTAGGAAACAGAGATGTGTGTCCTCCCAACATATTATTATTCTGCAGACTGAAGGAACCACCGTGCTGTTCTAAGAACCTGCCTTCTTTACGCTGTAGTTCCATGAGAAGTGCAAACAGGTAAACAAAAGAGACTGAGAAAGGCCAACTTTTTGATAACTGTTGAGACAGAGACGGCCTAAACGGAAAGCACATGCTGTTTCCCCTCAGCCTGACTGATTTGGCATTCAGAGTACATGCTCACAGGAGAGGGGCTGGGCCTCTCCAGTCAGGAACTGCAGTCAGAGACTTCCCCTGCTACTTGCCCGGAAAGAACATTAGGAATGCCTTTCAGTGCCTTGCTTCCTGAACTAGCTCACAGTAGCCAGGCGGCCCGGGGCAATCCCACCATATTTCACTCTCACCGCTGCGGGAATCCAGATGCAGGCCAAGTACAGCAGCACGAGGGACATGCTGGATGATGATGAGGACACCACCATGAGCCTGTATTCTCAAGCCTCTGCCACAACCCGGCGGCCGGAGCCCCGCTGCACAGGTACTCTGCCTCCTCGGGTCCGAATAGACCAGACCCCTTTGCAAAACGTGCGAGATGAGCTATCCTTCCTAGAAATGTACAAAATAGAGAAAAAAGAAGAAATGTTGTTGTGATTTACAGTGATGTGTAGCTGTGCACTTTCCACAAAATGCCTTATACGTGAATATCTGGAAATTTAAACCCAATCTACATACAGATGTTTGTTTTTCTGAAATTCTATTGCTAGCCTAGTGGTTTGCAGTTGAGCATGTGTTGCTTTTTCCATGCAGGCATAGCATACAAAAGTGAAATTTTATGTGCGATTAAAGCTACGCCCTTTCTCTCTCCCACCTTCCCTAAAACAAGTCAGGTATTGTTTTGTTTACCATCTGATCTGGAAATTTAGATTTATAAAAGCCACATTTTTGCTGGTTTTGAAGTCATGGCTTTAGAGGGGGATTTTCAAGCATACCAATTAACCCTAGTTTTCTGTTACAATAATTTTGCCTCTTGAAATTGTGAGCCCTTAAGAGAGTCATGTCAACATCAGACGTTTGGTTTTATCATATGTGAAATGAAGGATGATTAAAGCAAATGCTTTCTAAGGTTCCTTTACCTCTGGACGTCTGTGATACAATAGTTTAAATAATGGCATCAAATTCCATTATGTCCAGTCCCTATCCCCTTTTACTGTATTGATTTCAGAATATTGTGGAGAAGATTGAATCAAATTATGAAAATATTTAATGTTAGTTATATTTTGCTTCTATCCTATAATTTTATTTCCAATTACTCCCCCTATGACATAGTAGTGATTTTTTTTTTCAGTTCTATTCAGTTCCATAATTCACACACTTAGAGAAGGATTTTATTTCCTGGGCCACTCAGCCAGTCTAAAGCTAAAATATGACTTAAGTTCTAGTGAAAAGGACTCACATGGCACGACTAGATTCTAGGTCCTAACCCAGGTACACCACTTACCTTCTGTGTAACTTTGGAGGCGTTATTCATGTATCCTGGTGGCATCATAGTCCTTATTTATAAAATATTAATGGCCACAAACATGTATACAGGACTCATTATGTGCTGTCAGTGTTTTAAATTCTTTAGGTATGTTCGTTTATATTAACTTTAATTAATATTAAACAGAAGTAATAAAACTTCCTTTACAAGGTGGTCCTGAGTACTGAGAATGATGAATTATGTGAAATACTTGATATATTACAGACACTCCAGAAATGTAGAATTCCTTTCAACGTTCCATTTCTTGAGAATTCCTAAAGCGCTCCTTTCAGCAGTTTTCTGTCAGTCTGTATCAGATTGAACAGACATTTATTCAGTGCCTGTATTTCAGTATGTCCTTTCCCTTCTGACTATATCACCATTTTCTTCACCTTTGTAAATCTGGATATACCTTATTTTTTTTTTTTCAAAAATGTTCTCTTCCTTATTTTTTTATCAGATAACTTTTAGTTTTCCTTTCTTTCTCCTACTAAACTCTCTATTCACTTTCTATTTATTAAATGATCCTCCACCTGAGACCCACTGATGTGGCTTTTTTTTTTTTTTTTTAACTAAACTATCCGGTAAGCTGTTAGGGGACATTGGGGATTTCCAACCTCTTTGACACGAAGCTAAGTCACAAAAGTAGGAATGTCAATTTCCGTAGCCACAGGAGATATATATATTTATATATATAAATACGATACAAAGTGTTTTCCTCCAAAAAATATTATGAAGAGTCCATTTTTAGGGCTGTGGTTTTGAGTGTCTTGTCTATAACTTCATTTTCCACCTCTGACTGGAGCCAGGAGCTGTCTCTAGGACTAGTGATCAGCATAATCAAGAACAGCATGTACAAATAAGTTCTGCTGAGCTTGAAGGGTAGAGAGGGAGGTGGAGCAAGATAAAGCACTAGCTGCAACATCTGGGGGCCTCTTTGCAAGAAATGGAAAGAATTATCTTGGAGGGAAACATCTGGAAATAGTTATCTTACCCTACATATATGATATCTTGTTTTCATCTTTTATTGGTAAGGCAAACATTTAGAGGAATGTCATCATAGAAGTATAATTATTTCTCATGTAAACATATCTGATATACCTTTGCTGATAAAAAATAACAGAGCAGAAATCAGTCAGAATTTTTTGGCAACGTGGAGGATTCAGATTCAGCATAATGCTGTGACACCATTCAGAGCTGGCAACTTTTATTTTGTAGAATTAATAGAAATAAAGCACACACATTCATTTAATTTCTAGATGTTTATTTTGTCAATAACACTTGACATAACAACTATGTTTGTGTTTTAAAATGCCAAACAATTAAGCTAGTAAAAATGAAAGACAACACCCTCATGCATTTTTCACAAACTTATGTGTGGGGTCAAGTTATCCTAGTACTGAGTATTGATGTCCAATGTGATATGGTCCCTGTTCATAAGGAAATTGAAAGCCTAATACAATTCTCAACTAAGGTAAAGTATAATAAGGTGTTATGGCAGCAGCATGTATGGTATAGCCTAGAGCTTGCTTATATCTACCTAATTAAGTAGAGGAGCTCAGGAAAGACTTAACAGAAGGAGTGATGTGGAGAGTTGAGTTAATTTTAACATATTTCACATAATAAGGCATCAGGAGTGAAAGTGTTTGAGAGGCTGGGGACACTACATTCAGAAAGACACATGAAGGGAAAGCTATGAGGGTTTTCAATAGCTTTGTAGTTTTAGAGAACTATAAGCAATATGTGCAGCTTAGGTGTAGAGTTGGAGAAGGGAAACTTGGCAAGGGGTAAGCCTGCAAGTTAAGGAGGCCTTTTAGGGCATGCTGGTGTATTTTAATTCTATCAATAGTTGAAATGAGGTCAATGCGGGATTTAGATAGGGAGAAACAGCATTTTGCATTTTGGGAAGACCATCTAGGCTGCAATGGCAAGGACAGGTTGAAGGCATATGAAACTGGATAGCCAATACAGAATTTTTTCACTAGTCTAGGACAAGAGTAGAAGAACATGAACTGTGGCAGCATGGTAAAAATGAGGAAAAAGAATCAGAGATGAACGATGTTGAGGTGATGGGAACATGAACTGAGGCAGCATGGTAAAAATGAGGAAAAAGAATCAGAGATAAACGATGTTGAGGTAATGGGAACATGAACTGAGGCAGCATGTTAAAAATGAGGAAAAAGAATGAGAGTTGAAAAATGTTGAGGTAATGGGAACATGAACTGAGGCAGCATGGTAAAAATGAGGAAAAAGAATCAGAGATGAACGATGTTGAGGTAATGGGAACATGAACTGAGGCAGCATGGTAAAAATGAGGAAAAAGAATGAGAGATGAAAAATGTTGAGGTAATGGAGTTTAGATAATTAGTGACTGGTTACATGTGAGGAGACAAGGAAAAGGCACTTGGTGGTAGGTTGACTAGGTTCTGTCTGATGTAATGTGGATGGTGCCGCTGCTCACTGAGACCGAAACTGCAGAAGGGACAGGAAAGGTGATGAATTCAGGTTGAGTTTAAGGGGCCTGTAGAAGGAGGGACATGCATTTGGAGCTGTCCAAACACACCTGTATATGTACATGTGGGAATTATTGGCATAATAACGAAATAAATAAAGTAAGCGAGGTACCTAAGTCATTAAGTAAAATAAATGGATAGTAACTAAAATGGATGGCAGTGAGTGGGACCACTGAGGGAGGAATGTGAAATGGAAAGATGAATGAACAGCAGAATGTAAAAGAGAGAAGCTGAGAGAGTATCAACACCTGAGGAGCACGAGGAATGAAAGATTCCAAAAGGAGCTACCAGGGATAAATATCAGAGAGTGGGTGGGAGCAGGAATCTCGGACAGAGGCATCAAGGGTGTCAAGAGACAAAAAATGCAAAAGCAATGGAAAATTCAAGTAATAGAAGAGACAATAAATTCGAGAGTAATGAAAATGTCAATGATAGTAACTGTGAGTTTTAAAAAACAACGAACAACAAATACTGCAGAGAGTTTAAGTAAAGGGAAGACTGAAAATGATTAACAATTTAGTAATAAGGAGGAAACTATTTAGTTTTGATAGCAGTGGTTTGAAAAGGAACTGATGGTTAAATGGTAAAATAAATAATTTAAGTCATTTTCTCTTTTTCTTTCTCTCTTTTTTTGAAGATAAAATGGGTTATTGCTGAGGTACTATAGGGTTAAGTGAAAAATTTTAAGAATTATTTTTTAAGATGTGGGATTTTTTTTTTTTTTTTTTTTTTTGAGATGTAGTCTTGCTCTATCACCAGGCTGGAGTGCAGTGGTACAATCTTGGCTCACTGCAACCTCTGCCTCCCGGGTTCAAGTGATTCCCCTGCCTTAGTCTCCAGAGTAGCTGGGACTACAGGCTCGGGCCACCATGCCCGGCTAATTTTTTATATTTTAGGAGAGATGAGGTTTCACCATGTTGGCCAGCATGGTCTTGATCTCCTGACCTCGTGATCTGCCTGCCTTGGCCTCCCCAAAGTGCTGGGATTACAGGTGTGAGCCACCACACCTGAACGGTAATTCAGTTTTTGTAAAGGTTAAAAATAGTTGTCCTAGGCCAGGCATGGTGGCTCACGCCTATAATCCCAGCACTTTGGGAGGTTGAGGCAGGTGGATCACCTGAGGTTGAGGGTTTGAAACCAGCCTAACCAACATGGAGAAACCATCTCTACTAAAAATACAAAATTAGCTGGGTGTGGTAGTGCATGCCTGTAATTCCAGCCTCTCGGGAGGCTGAGGCAGGATAATCGCTTGAACCCGGGAGGCAGAGGCTGCTGTGAGCCAAGATCATGCCCTTGCACTCCAGCCTGGGCAACAAGAGCAAAATTCTGTCTGAAAAGAAAAGGAAAAAAAAAAAAAAAGAAAAAAAGGTTGTCCTTATGAATACATTTGGAAAGCTTCCAATGAAATAAAGTGTATCTATAACACACTTATAGTTTCTATTAGTAACTATTACTAATAGTAGCTGTATGCTCCCAAATAAGCTGTGTAAACTCCCTAGGCCTCAGTTCCCCACCTGTAAAATGGGACAATAATATCTACCTTATAGGGTGTTTGTGAGGCTAGATGAGAACATTCGTATAAGACATTTTTCTGAGTAATTCAAGAAATTTGAGCAATTATCATTAATGGAAATGTTGTTTTTGAATTATATTTCAATAAACAATATCTGTCGATATGGATATAAAATTCAGTCACCTAAATTTTACTGAAGAGGAAAAATATAATTAAGTTTCTAAATACTGTGAATTGGAAACTCAATGATAGTCTAGAAATAGCTAATATATTCTTAGATGTATACTATTTTCAAATAATTAGAAGGACAACACCCACTTTCATTTAGAGAGTATGAAAATAGCAATATTTGAAATAGATTTATAGTAGAAAGGAAACCTGAATTTACATGAACACAGAAAAGCAGACTCAGCCCATGAACTCAGTTTCCCATGAAGAGGTTTCCTATGTGCTATATGTGAGGATTAAGGAAACAAAGACATTTACACTTCAAAATACAAAGAGATCAAAGAAGTGCTTTCTGAAATATTATGTACATGGCCATCAGTTTTGCCTTCGTGTCTCTGTGACTCCCGACTGGCTCATGGAAAAGTATGTGAAGTATAGCATTAAGCATAATGATTTAATCTTAGCTCTGCAACTAGTTTGTAACATGCACATTATTTAAACTCTCTGTGTCTTTTTCAACTTTTAAGACCTTTTGTATTTCATAAGTATACTAATAAACTGTGTATGGTAATGGCAGCTTAGTTTCTTGGGTGGACAACAAAGTTTTCCCTCGCTGATGCCTGATGAAGAGTAACTGGTTAAGTCTGACAGCTCTCCACCCACAAAGTTTCATATAATTACACAGGAATCGGTATACAAAATCTGACCCTGACACTGAGGCCTTTTATAGTATGGTTATAGTAAGAGGATACAGGAAAGTTTTTTTTTCCCTATATATATCTTATTATTCCTAGGGTTGTTTATATCATTCCTTGGCCTGTCCACACCTCTTTCTAAACATGGCTCAGGAAACAGCAAAGGGGTTCTCTTCCAGAAAATAAAACCACAATAAAGCCAAGCCAAACTCAAGCGACCTCCCAGGCATCTTATTTTTGTGAAAATCTGCCTTATGTTAGGGTGAGGGTGATCCCTGGAGAGAGACTTCGGTATGATTAGGGCACTTGGAATAAAACTCAGAAACATTAGACTCTCAGTTAGAAGAAAAACATCTAGAGGGAAAAATAGCATCAAAGAAAAAGAAAAAGTGAAACTTTCAACTTCATGGACTTTCTATCACGGGAGCTTGGTTTCCTGGGAGATGAACTCCCCAGCATTGTGTTTCTCTGTGTCTTTGTATAGAATGATTAGATGCAGAGTATTAAAGAGAGAGACAGGGAAAGCAAGTGAGAGAGTGAGAGAGAGATGGGAAGAGAAGAAAAATTTCAAAATGTGAAATTTTATCAGAAAAAGAGGATTTCTTAGAAGAGATTTTAAAGCAGAAGACATACCACTTTTTTTTTTCTGCCCTAGAGACAATTTTAAGAAGGGTCATGTATTTTTTTTTCTTTTCATGAATATAATTATTATTGAAAGATGTTCTGATTTCTAAAGTCCAGGCCCTCACTTCACAGTAGGAATTTAAGTTCACTGTTTTTGTTCCTTTGGGCAGAAAAACAACACCTCCCATGCCCTCGATATTATGCAAAGGAAAGCAGATTTATTTTATTTTGTTTTATTTATTTCATTTCATTTATTTACTACTTTTGAGAGAGGATCTTGCTCTGTCACCCAGGCTGGAGTACAGTGGCACGATCATGACTCACTGCAGCCTTGACCTCCCTGGCTCAAACAATCCTCCTACCTCAGCCTTCTGAGTAGCTGTGACTACAGGTGTGTGCCACCATGGCTGATGAATTTTTTAAATTTTTTGTAGAGATGGGATCTCACTATTTTGCTCAGGCTGGTCTCGAACTGCTGGCTTGAAGCAATCCTCCTGCTTTAGTTGGGAATCCCAAAGTGATGGGATTACAGGCCTAAGCCACTGTGCCTGGTAGAAAACAGATTTATGAAGAAAAACAATTTGGTTGACTGTCAGAGTTCTTTTCCTTTACTTCTTGAAACTTTTTTTTTTTTTTTGAGACAGAGTCTTGCCCTGTCACCCAGGCTGGAGTGCAGTGGCGGATCTTAGCTCATTGCAACCTGCGACTCCCTGGTTCAAGCGATTCTCCTGCCTCAGCCTCCCAAGTAACTGGGATTACAGGCATGCACCACCATGCCCAGCTAATTTTTTGTATTTTTAGTAGAGATGCGGTTTCACCATGTTGGCCAGGATGGTCTTGATCACCACACCTCATGATCCACCCATCTTGGCCTCCCAAAGTGCTGAGATTACAGGCTTGAACCACCACACCCGGCCTATTTTTTTTTTTTTTTTTTTTTAGACGGAGTCTCACTCTGTCACCCAGGCTGGAGTGCAGTGGCTCTGTGTCGGCTCACTGCAACCTCTATCTCCTGGGTTTAAGCAATTCTCCTGCCTCAGCCTCCAGAGTAGCTGGAATTATAGGCACGCCCACCTAATTTTTTGTTTTTATTTTTAGTAGAGACAAGGTTTCACCATGTGGATCAGGCTGGTCTCAAACTCCTGACTTGAGTTTGATTTGCCTGCCTTGGCCTCCCAGAGGGCTGGGATTACAGGCATGAACCATTGCCCCTGGATGTCTTTACTTCTTATGTCTAATTTCAGCTGGACAAATATTAATTATAAGAAGTAACAGGATTTAAAAAATTATCATGAGATATGTATTAATGTAACTATGTTTGAGTAGGGATAGGTAGGCATATAACACAGATATTTGTATATAACGGACCTATTCATTCATTCATTCATTTAAATTTAGTTGAGTTTATTTCAACTACTGCTCTAGGAACTGGGTTACAATAGTGGCTAGATAGATAATATTTTCCAAGAAGGAGCTAAATTTTTTCTGGAGTAAGACAGATAGAAGCCAAATGAAATAAGATATACAATATACTTAATGGTAATAAGAGGTTGTGGAAAAATAAAATCACCATGGCGGTGGGCTCACACATGCACTTTTAACTATGGATTTTAGAAACATCCATATGGTTAACTTTCTTGGACCATATGGAAGTTTACAAATACAGGGTTTTGGAGAGGATGATTAACCCAAACTATATTCTGTCTCTAATCTTGTTTTCTTTTTTTTCTTTTTTTTTTTTTTTTAATGTTCTGCTGATCTGAAATATTTTTACAGTCAATACTGCGAGAAAACCATCCTTTTCCAGAAAAACTAAGACTAAATCACATAGCTTAGTTAACTGAAGGAAACCAAGGGGAGGAAGCAAATTTCCCTCAGATTTGTTCATGATATAGAATCTCACAAAAGTCAGTGTATAGAAACCAACATGGCTGGGAGATGTATTTAGCTGAGTCTGTTTTCTGCTGACATAAATATTGCTGAAAAGTCAATAGATTTAGATTCAAAGAAAACCTGTAAAACTTAACATGGGAGAACCCACTTATAAAACTTAGATAGTTTAAGTCATATTAATTTTTTATAATTTCATTTTTTGATTATTTAAACTGTCAAAAGATTTACTCAGCCCTTATGTGCCAGGCACTACTTTCAGTAGTGGAAATACACTAGTTGACAAATAGACAAGATCATTGATTTAATGGAATGTTAGATGGGGAGAAAGGAGACAGAGAAAAAGAAAGAAACGTCATGAAAATGTTACCTAGCACAGAGTGAGTGATATGCGCTAGCGATGGACTAGTGGGCCTCTTCCAAGGACGTGCCATTGAAACTGAAGTTTAATGCAGAGGCAGAAGGAGGGCTGATACAATTTGCTTAGGGTCAAGCTTCATCATGATCAGATCAAGGACTAAACGGAAGGCCATTGTGAGTAGTACATGTGAGTGAGAGGAAAATAGCTCAGAAAGGGATGAAAGGGCTAAGGAAGGCCTCAATGACTATTGCAGGATTTAATTTTAAGTGCAATAAAGCTTTTAAAGTTTTTAAGTAGGAAAGTACCATAATAAAATTGCCTTTTTTTAATTTTAAAAAGCAGTCTGTGAAAAGGGATTTGGATTTTATTCTAAATGTAATGCAAGCTATTTATGAAGGAGATGACTGCTAAGAAAGAATAAGATTCCCATTTAAAAATATATCAGTATGTCTACTCTGAGACTTTAACTTGATTTCCCTACTAGATTTAAGTTCCAGAGGATAGTAATCATATTGTCTATTTGTATATTCTTTACTAGTTATCATTCCCCATTGGGAAACAATGTTCAAATATATCTCTTTACCTAGAATTGGTTGCGTGCAGCGGCTCGTGCCTGTAATCCCAGCACTTTGGAAGGTGAGGCAGGCGGATCGCTTGAGCTCAGGAGTCAGAGAACAGCCTGGGCAACATGGTGAAACCCCATCTCTAAAAAAAGTGTAGAAAAGAAATTTAGCCAGGCGTGGTGGCACATGCCTGTGGTTCCAGCTACTCAGGAGGCTGATGTGGGAGGATTGCTTGAGCCTGGGCAGCAAATGTTGCCTTGAGCTGAGATCGCGCCACTGCACTCCATCCTGGAAAATCTCTGTGCCTAGAATGTATTATGTAGAGGGCCTTGCTAGATGAAAAAGAATTTTCCTTTCAAAAAAACCCTCTGATCTCTTTCTGTTTCAGAGAGTGACTTGAATTCTCAATGAAGTGAACTAACGGGTTACAAAGAGATCGGAGTTTGAGGGTTTCACTCTCCCTTTGTTTCATTTCTAGCACAACGCTAGATGCACCTGACTGAGAATCTTCCCTGTTAGATATGTTAGGTCATTCAGACCCAGACAGGCGACCTCACTAGGGTGAGGGGTCTACTCATGACTTACAGTAAAACCTCTGTAATTACTAGTCAAACTTATGGGAATGAAGGGTAAGGAACACGTTTGCCACAGTTTAAAAAATTATTTAACTGCTGCAAAAATAGCTTGGATTCATCTTTCAGAAATTGATGATCATGTATCTTTATAATCTATTTTTGAAAAAATATAAATTGAATGAATGAACAAACAATATCCTTACAAAAATGGGACATTCAATGAAGCAATTCCACAGAGAAACAGTAAAATTATTACTTCCCATTACTAACATGCAATTTGCATTTTGGAAAAAACGTATATAGAACTTGGGAGGAGGGAGATGTTTTTCAAAAGTAACAACAAATTAATTTCATCTTTCCCCTGATTATGTAAAAAGTTGTCCCTTGATTCTCAGAGATTCTCAGGCTCTTTCATAATTAGAATTTTGACAAGCAAAAGGTTGTACAAACAACCATGTGAAGATAATGATAATGCATAATGTAATTCAGTGCAAATAAGACTTGAGGGGTGGATGCAAATGGGTGGGGCTTGTGAGAATCTGGCTGCGCTAAGTGAGGCTCTCATTGAGCCTTATGATGATGTTTCTGAGGACAGACAGCAAGTTATTCTGTGGCCCTGGTTATTGTAGTCCAGCATAATTTGTTCCTGTGCAGAATCAACTCCTCTCCCTTACATGCTATTGACTTAGATGCAAGAGGAAGAAAAAGCCAAACGCTGCTTTCTCTTCTGTTCCCTGCAGGGCACAGGGCTCCCTCTTCAGCATGGCGACCAGTGGCCCTGATCCTGCTGACTTTGTGCTTGGTGCTGCTGATAGGGCTGGCAGCCCTAGGGCTTTTGTGTAAGTCTGAGCTCTGACCTGGGGGAGGATCCTGGTTCCAAGGTTTGTCTAGGATGAGAACGCTTGTTATAGATTTGTTTTTTAAACTTTAATTCTGTAGCCTTTGGAAAACTCAGTGTATCTTTTTTTTGAATGGCAACTATTTAAATGGTGAATAATGGAAGAATTAAAATACAACAATCGGTAGCCAACTAGAATTAAACATTCTGTTTGAGATAAGAAATGAACATTGATGTAAAAATTGTGAACAAAAGACTAGCTAACTGAATCCAACATTGTATCAAAAAGATAATACCCCGCGATAAAATGGGTTTCATCCCAGGGATGCAGGGATGGCTTAATGCACGCAAGTCAATAAATATAATACATTACATTAGCAGAACTAAAAACAAAAATTGGTCTGGGAAGGAAGAAGAAAAGAGAAAAAGAAAGATCCATAAATAGGTTTCTTGAAGTTATTTTTCACCTTTCTCTGGTATCTCCTTGAGTAACTTAATAATGAACCTTCTGAATTCTTTATCTGGCCTTTCAGAGATTTCTTCTTGGTTTGGATTCATTGCCGGGGAGCTAGTGTTATCTTTTGGTGGTGTTACAGAACGCTGTTTTGTCATATTACCAGAATTACTTTTCTGCTTCCTTCTCATTTGGGTATATTGGGTATTTCAGTGAAAAGATCTGGAACACACGGGCTGCCATTCAGATTCTTTCATCCCATGGGGTGATCCCTTGATGTTGTGCTCTCCCCCTTCCCCTAGGTATAAGGCTTCCTTAGAGCCAAAGGAGTGATTGTTATTTCTCTTCTGGGTGTAGCCACCCAGTGGTGTCACCAGGCTCTAGGCTGGTGCTGGAGAATGTCTGCAGAGTCTTGTGATATGATCCATCTCCAAGTCTCCTATCTGTGGATACCAGCACTGCTGTGGTGAAGCTGGCAAGGAGGTGAAGTGACTGTGAGAGTCCTTGGTTATAGATGTGTTTCGTGTGCTGGTTTTCTAGAATGCTGGTTATGCTCTCAGTGAAGTTGTCAGATGGACACACTCAGGACCTCTGGTTAGCCAGGATGTTGCTGCAGTGGAATTAGCTGTTGTCTTCTCCCTCCTGGGAGCAGGGTTATTCTGTCATGAGTTACTGTAATGGCTTGAGTTGGTTGGCCTCCAGCCAGGAGACGGTGCTTTAAAGAGAGCACCAGCTGCAGTAGTAGACAGGGCATATAAGCTTGCTGTAAATTGGCCAGGATAAGTATTTAGGTTTCTCAGGTGATGGACAGGCCATACAGCTCCAAAGCGTTTATGTCTTTTGTGTTTGGCTACCAGGGTGGGGGGAGAAAAAACATCACATGGGGTCAGGGTTAGGCAGGTCTAAGCTCACACTCTCCTTGGTCGGGGATTGCCATGAATGCTGTGGGGGATAGGGGTTGATTCTCAGGGTATTACGGCTGCCTCTGCTGTGTCATACAGGTCGCCAGGGAAGTGGGAGAAAGCTGGCAGTGATAGGCCTTACCCAGCTCCCACATAGCTGGTGAGGCAAATCTTGCTCGTCTCATGTCCTACCAACAACACTGAGTTTATATCCTGGCAGCCCATGCCAGGGGCTCTGAGCTTGCCCCAGGCTACAAGCCTCTCCACTGAGAAAACCAGCAGGCTTTCAGGCCACACCCCTCCCCACCTTCCCACAGCATCCATCAGTTCCTCTGTTGATATCTATAGCAGTTCCTCTTTGCCCCCTGAATTCTGCTTAAGAAAATTTGTATCTAGTTGAAACTATTACAGAATTCATTAGCTTCTTTCGCTCTGTGATTCCTCTTTAATTCCACTGGTTGCCTTATCCAAAGACCCCTGTGAGACAAAGTCAGGGATGGCTTCCTGGGGCTTGAGCTGGAAAACGGGAGTGCCTACAGAACTCTTCCCTCTGCTTCTTCTCCTTTTATATTCTGCATGGCTCCCTACACCCATTTCTGCTTCAGTTAAGATTAAATCCTTCTCCTGTAACCCAGATTTTCAGGTTCCCCAGTATGGATGTGTGTTCAGAGGTAGGTGTTCCCCCCACTCACACATTTTTGGCTGTCTTGCAGAAATTTCAGTACTGAGTTGTGTCTTTCAAAGGATCTGTGAATTCATTAAGCTTTCTTGGTATGTTCCTGAGGTGGTTCCTAGAGGAGAAGTTCACAGAATGAGTCTCCTCATGCTGTTCTGTTGTCCAAGTGGGAGCTGCACCTTAGCCCTCTTGTCTGCCGTTTTCTCCTATGACTTCACATTTTCAGACAGACTTAAAGAAATTAATTTGCCCAAGGTGATACAACTTCTCATATATGTATTGGAGTCCAACCTTGAATATAGGCCATATGAGATCTCAGAGCCTGAGAGACTACTAAAAGATATACTGTTTTGTCTTCCCCATATGCAGAAAATGGAAATAAAGCATAGAAATAAGCTGTCCAGTTTGACTTGGTCATTTGGGTTAGTTTTTCAGTACTACCAGCTCTCCAATACTCATCAAGCCACCATTTCCCATATGGAAGAAAGATTCGGAAATATCTCCCGACAGTTTCAATCTCTTCAAGTCCAGAACACGAAGCTTGCAGAAAGTCTGCAGCATGTGGCTAAAAAACTCTGTCGTGAGCTCTATAACAAAGCTGGAGGTAAGTGTGCCCTGGTCACTGTATCCCCATGCTATTTGGCAATAAAGAGATGGATTTCCCACCAGTGAAAGTGAGAGTCAAATATTATTTAAATAGAGGTCTGGCAAACTGAATAAAGGGTTTGGGCTTCCTGATTATGATCAATTGTTGGGATCATGTGATTCATATGTGTCTGTGAGACCATACATCAAGGGACTCTTCAAATGCAGGCATTTAAAGCAATAAAACAATTACCTAGGAATAACCAAAATAACACTATGAGTAAAGAAAATACAGGGTTGGGTCTCGGTCTACCTCAGCAAATGTTCTTACAAATTCTTTCCTAGCAAGAAGTAAGCAAACTCATAACTATAGTTCTCAAATCTTAAAAATCACACAGGGAGTGGTCCAAAAATGCAGATAACCTGCATCAAATTCCAGTTATTTTAATTCAGGATAACTAAAATATGTATTTTAACAAGGACTACAGATGATGACAGTACCAGTAGTAGGTGAACTACCATGGATGAAAATACTGCTGAGAAGTCTAGGAGCATCACTTCAGAGTGTGTGTGTGTGTGTGTGTGTGTGTGTGTGTGTGTGTGTGTATTCCCATTCTCCTGTTCTTTTCAGGTTTTGTGATAATCTACTTTATTCAAGTCAGCTCTCTTTGCTGCTCTCTTTATCATGCTTACTTGGGAAATGGCATCCATATTCAGGTTCCCACTTTTTATTTATCTTTTAGGAACTCTAAAGGAGGGCAGAGTCTTCTCACCTTCCCTCTTGAAACAGGAATCCTGATTGCGTGGTTACCCTGGAAAAAAATATTAGTATGCACACCTTCACTTCTCTAAGTGATTCTTTCCTACATGACTAATGACTTCAATGGTCATAACGTCCTTATTATTTATTTATTTATTTATTTATTTTTGAGATGGAATTTTGCTTTTGTTGCCCATGCTGGAGTGTAATGGCACAATCTCGGCTCACCACAACTTCTGCCTCCTAGATTAAAGTGATTCTCCTGCTTCGGCCTCCCGAGTAGCTGGGATTATAGGCGTGCACCACCATGCCCGGCTAATTTTGTGTTTTTAGCAGAGGTTGGTCAGGCTGGTCTTGAACTCCTGACCTCATGTGATCTGCCTGCCCCAGCCCCACAAATTGCTGGGATTACCAGTGTAAGCCACCTTGCCCAGCCTCATAAATGTCCTTATTTACTAATTTTTCTTTTTCTTTCTTTTTTTTTTTTTTTGAAATGGAATCTCACTCTGTTGCCGAGGCTGAAAGGCAGTGACATGATCTCAGCTCAGTGCAACTTATGCCTCCCAAATTCAAGCAATTCTCCTGCCTCAGCCTCCTAAGTAGCTGGGATTCAGGTGCACAAAACCATGCCCAACAATTTTTTTTTTTTTTGTATTTTTAGTAGAGATGGGTTTTCATTGTGTTGAGCAGGCTGGTCTTAAATTCCCAACGTCAGGTGATCCCCCTGGCTTGGCCTCCCAAAATGCTGGGATTATAGGAATGAACCACCACACCTGGCCCTTATTTACTAATTTTTCTAACAACCCAGTGTGCATACTTTTCTTTGTTGGATGTCATATCTTCAAAAAGATAATCCACTACCTGACAGGCTGAGGCTGGAAAATTGTTTGAACTGAGGAGATCAAGACCAGCCCAGGCAACATAGTAAGACATCATCTCAATTTTTTTTTTTTTTTGAGACAGAGTTTCGCTCTGTTGCCTAGCCTAAAGTGCAGCGGCGTGATCTCAGCTCACTGCAGTCTCCATCTCCTGGGTTCCAGCAATTATCATATCTCAGCCTCTTGGGTAGCTGGGATTATAGGCGTGCACCACCACACCTGGCTAATTTTTGTATTTTTTTAGTAGAGACGGGATTTTGCCATGTTGCTCAGGCTGGTCTTGAACTCCTGGCCTCAAGTGACCTGCCCATGTTGGCCGCCCAAAGTGCCGAGATTACAGGCATAAGCCACTGCACTCGGCCACACACACAAAAATTTTTTTAAAGGTAATCCAGATTTTCCTAACACAAATTGTCTTTCAAATTTTCATTTAGGTATATAAAAACAAATAAAAAGAAGCTATGCAAATAAATCATATTTAATTTAAATATAAAATCTGCATGCAAATGTATTAATCCTTCTCATAAAAAGTTCTTAAATATTTTTGGTTAGATGTTAGTTCTCAGTTTTAATCTGCTACTTTTTATTTCTTACCCTCATCTTACGCATTATCCATCCATCGATCCATCCATCCATCCACCCACCCACCCACCCACTGAAGTGGTGTTTATCTATCCATTTACTTAGTATTACTGCCAGTATGGTTGAAGTATTTATTGAATGCCTGCTAATGCATGTCTGACAAAACACATAGGATTTCTACTCTCATGGGCCACTTACTCTAGTGGAGTGGTGGAAATAAGTATATTGAAAAACATTAAAAAAGACAACTAATGTCTTTGTCTCTTTCTGTTGCTGTAAAGGAGTACCTGAGCCTGGGTAATTTACACAGAAAAGAGTTTTATTTGGCTAATGATTCTACAGGCTATCCAAGAAGTGTGGTGCCACCATCTGCTGCTTCTGAGAGCCTCAGGTGGCTTCCACACATGGGGGAAAGTGCAGCAGGTAATATGGCAAGAGTCCAGGAGACAAGAGACTGAGGAGGGACGTGTCAGGCACTTTTTAACCATCAGTTCTCCCAGGACTAATGTAGCGAGAGCTCAACAAGCTGTTCGTAAGGGATCCGCTCCCTTGACGGAGACACTTCCCATTAGGCCCCATCTCCAACACCAGGATCGAATTTCAATATGAGATTTGGAGGGGACAAATGTTCAAACTATATCAACCAGCATTTCCAAGTCTGCCCCAAATGTTCCCTGTTTTAGTACTAAAAATCCCACAGCCTGGGAAACCCTAGGTCCCAGGTATACAATAATGATTGGCCAACCAAAATAAAATGTATAAGAGATTAATCAATCCTTTGAGAAATGAAGGTAAACAAGGCAAGAGGGATAAGGAGTTCAAGGGTAGTGTGTTTGTGTTGCTACTTTAAGTAGAGATGTCCTAAATCTTTAATTAAGATGACTATATGGTAGAAAGACTTGAAAAGTTGAGGGAGTTAGCCGTGTACATATAGAGAGGAATAATAAGCCTCATGGGTAAAGCAGGAAACACAAGAGGCTTAAAATGTGAATGTATCTGCATATTCAAGGAAGAATGAGGAGCCCACGTGCTTGGAGTGGAAGACTAACAGGAGGCTAGGTAGAGATGATGTACAGCATTAGGTTCCTTTGCAAAAGTTTGGCTACTATTTTGAGAAGATGAGGATTAATTATGGGATCTTGAGCAGAGGAAATACATTGTCTGGCATAAGTTTTTAAAGGCTTACTCTGCAATTATGTTAAAACTAGATTGGAAGAGGAAAGAATAGCAACAGAGAAATCAGATAAGAGACAGCTACCACTAAAATCTAGGAGAAACATGATGATACCTCTAACTAGGATATTGTTTGTGGAAGTAATTACATGATGGGCTATAAATGGATGTGTGAGAAATGAAAGATCCCAAAACATCTCCAGAATTGGGGAACAACACAACTAGAAGCATCGAGGTGTAATCAAGTGAAAGGAAGAAGAATTCTCTGGCTACAAGGGGAAAATTGGAAACCAGGAATGCTATTTGGGGAGTTAAATATATGAGCAAAAAGTTCTGGGCCAGACATGTAAACAGACTTACATTCCTTTTGTCTGAAGCACAGAAAAATAAAGGAGAAACAGAGAGAGAAAGGAGTATAAGAAAAAAAAAAGATGATCAGGCTTTTCTTTTTTGGATGACATGTTTTCATGTATTTATGAAATGGAATGCCCTTCAGCGTATTGGTCTTGCTAATATGAACATTATTGTTTACTGATCCTAAATACCTGTAAATATTTATTGCGCTATACCATATACAAAAATTGGCAATTTATAGATAAAATAAGTTCGTAGAAAGTGTACATGTTCAGTTTAGAAATTAGTTGGTATTTTAATTTTCCTAGGTGTATATGCCATGGACAAAACATTTGAGAACAGTCCATTTTCTGTCCACACATTTTTTTCTGGCCCAAAATATACATTTTCTTCTTTAAAAATATACATATTATTTGGGAGACAGAGAGGTGGGGGAACAGGGTCTCACTCTGTCGCCCAGGCTAGAGTGGAGGATATATGTAAATCTCTTTGTATTTATGTATCTATATCTACATCTATGTCTATACCTGTAACTATATGTATATATATAGATAAATGTATTTCTTCTGATCTGTATTACATTTTCATCCTCCAGTGGTTTAAGTAATGTTATATCAACTATTTAGTTAGTTGAAGGTAAGAATGTAAAAAGGTATCTCTATCTCTGTCTCTTTAATTACATCATATCACTACCTATTTCACATAAGGCTCTTGGTCCTTGAATCTCTCACTTTTCAATCTAATTGTCCCTTGCTTCCTCTTAAACATTCATTGAAAATTTCTCTTTATATTAATTCCCATATGAGTATGGGACTTGCTTTTACATAGGGCACATAGAGGATCACTTATACCTGAAAATTGAAGGTATTTAAGAAAACATTATACATGAGGGGGGATAAGGTATTTATACACTGTACCAAAATTGCAGTTACACAGTTTCTACTTACTGAATCAGAGCAGACATGACAATGAACCAAGATTCTCCTTGCTGAGTCCAGATGCTGCTTCGTAATCTTTTCCAGCACAGCTCTCCAAGCAGGTATTACCCATCTAAATTCTCATAACAACGGGGACCACAGTTGAAACTGACATTTATTGAGTGCTTTGTATGGGTCAGTCTCTGTGTGAACCAGACTGTTTTCCTTATTTACATTTTACAGCAATTCTCTTAGGTAAGCATCATTCCCATTCTTTTTCCGTGTTTTAGAAAGTCTGAGGATCCTTTTCTTTGTGCTTGAGTCTATCCAGGTTTGTTATATTTCTCCTAGCAGAATTCTGAGGCAAGCAGACCTGTCTGAGAGAGTGCAGAAGCTACTGAGTGCCACAGCAAGTTTGTCATGATAAAAATATCCTTCTCAGTTATTCTTTTAACATTTTGTTTTATTTTATGAAATATTTCAAATTTACAAGAAGATGTAAACAATAACATAATACCTACCAGTGTGTTAGCCAGTGAGATTTTAACATGTTAACTAGATTGCTTTTAAAATAAAGAAATTGTTATGGATATGACTCAAGTTCTCACCCCACTACAAACCCACAAGAGACTGGATTACAGGTTCCTAACTCTAAATGACCCAAGGTCATGTATCCACATAGGTATTGAAACTATGACTCAGGGCCTGGCTCCTATATTTGCTATCACTACCCACACTTCTGTGGCCTGGATGCCCAACTTCATTTGTGACATGGAGATTCAGCATTCTAACTTCATGCTTGCCTCAGTATTTTTTTTCTTTAAAATTTTATCTATCTTTGTTTAGAGTGAGAAAAGATTCCACATCATATTGGTATAATTGTATTTTTTAAAACTTATTTTACTATTATATAAGATAATTTTGAGGAAGGGCATTACAGAAACTTTATTTTCTAAACACAATGCAGTTGGAGTTTCTGTACATATGAACAGCTTTGTGAAGTTGGATATTCTTTTCACGTGCTATTTTTTTTTTTTTTTTTTTTTTTTTTTTTT